TATCAAATGAAGTAAGTCACGCCATTAAAAAGTGCTTAAGAAAAAGTGGTCTTGAAAATTATGTAAGATTATTGACATCCCACCCAATACCCTACGCCGCCAGTTAGTTCGAAACCGCCTCTATGATAGTTTGTGCAGTTCAGAAAACTGTATGATCTGTCCTAACGGGAGAGACGGGGATTGCATGAGTTCAGGTATAATATGCTTGATCTCATGTAATGCATGTGGCGAGGAATATATCGGGGAAACGGGTAGACCACTTTGTGTCCGCATAAAAGAACATCTAGATGGGAAAGCTAAAATCCGTTTAAACAACCCCCTAGGTACGCATAGGGCACAAAAGCACAACGGCGATGATTTTGAAGTGAATGTGCGGATCCCAGCGCAGGAATCAAAAACATCAACGCGCAAAACTCTTGAGGCGTTTTGGATAAATTTCAAAAATCCAAAGATGAACCGGAAGGACGAATGCCTCACTATCACGCGTGACCTGGCGCCCTATTTCAAAATGATATTTTGACCCCGGGGCGTGTCTTGCTCGCGACTCCACGTGAACTACGTGTGGGCCAGTCCCGCACGTAACATCACGGTGAGTGGCCTTTCTGTTCAATATGGCGTCTATTTGAAAGTTTGATCTTCATTAATACCTTAACTTTCTTTTCCACCGAATAATAAAAAGTATTCTAACATAAAGTACGTCCAGGCTCTGAGGAAGGCGAAGTCGCCGAAACGTCAGCCATCGATCAATAACATCAAAAACAACGACAACGACAACGAAGATCTGTACCAACCTCGCGTCAGCTTAAGAAGATCAGTTTGTAAGATCACATAAATAAATATATCAACTATCTATGCCGAGGTTCATAGAAAGTCGGTCTTTCGAGTTCCATATCATTGTTAATGCATTGTATTAATTATTCTATTAATGCCAACTGAACCATCTTACTTGTAATTTATTGCACATACATTTCGAATATTAGCTCTACTTACTGGTCACATTATCGCCTATGTTTTCTTCACAGTTATGGTCTTATTATCGCCATTTCTCTATTGTTGCATCATCACTGTTAAAAGCCAAAGGATAAACCACTAGGCGTTGATCTATCCCTGAGGGATACGCTGTGCATTCGACTTCCTGAAGTATCGTCTGAGGTTACTGGATGCACATTTGGCCTTTAAAATGATTCTTGACGGCCTACCGATGTGTCGAGCCAGTGCTGTTATCCTCCCAGACAAGTCTAGTACCAATTTGCTGACCCCGGGGGGATGGAGGACTTGGTGAGCCTGGGGCGCCATGACCGATCTCATGTGCATTACAGCGCGCCTCCAAGCACTGCGCTACACATGCCCCTACATTATCACTGTGATTTAAGGTTATATAATGATCTAATTACCCACGTATTGCGAGAGGTATTGCTGTGTAACGAACAGCGAAGTCCCACGTGACAGCTTCCTAGAGAGTTAGGCATTCCACTTGCAGCTAGTGATTATTCGATGTGGAGATCTGACTCGGAAATCCAATTCGCACTACATTCGCACTACGCTCTACTACACTACTGCTACATTTTAGTGCATCGGTCTAACTGCTATATTACCTCACGAAATCGTAACGGCACAAATGACCAAATTTACCAGTATACTTTAAAAAAATTAAGAAAGTTGAGGAACCAAAGGAAACCAGCTTATAAATCCGTGGAGATGTTCTGTGTCGACACCAAAACCGCGCGAAAAAATGGCGGGAGACAACACAACTCTTATTTTGGTAGTGATAAAAATAAATGTAAACATGTTCTATCGAATAAGACTAATGCGACTACAGCACTAACCCGACACTTCGGCAGGTAACCACAAGTCATTGGTCAGCCCAGATACACGTTCCCTCACTTCTGTCGATGCGTAAAGTAATCAAATGCACGGCCCATTCTTCAGGAATTGACCAATGTTCATAGTTTCAACCTTTATCCTTGTTGCATTCGACTGAAATAACGATTAACATGCACTCCTCATCATGTAAACATTTCACCCAATATGCCATTTATTTGCAAGCAGATAACAATTTAACAATGAATTTCATAAAATTGTAGAGGCGAATAAAGATAGAACATCAGAAAACCCGTTAAAGTTTTAGGGAGACGAAAGCTCACCATGCTAAATCAAGAAAGTGAAAGTACATGTTAACACCAAGAATTAGAAAAACCAGGAATATTCATTTGTTATACGAATTTGAGAACAACCAAATAAGAACAAATATTGCAACCAGGAAATGCTAAGCACTCTAGTTAGTATGACAGAGACTACTTCCAAAAAAATATTTTCGAAACATATGCTTTTAAAAAACAAGAAAGATGTAGAAACAACTTCTGAAATACGTATCGAAGGAGGGTGCTCAGAACTCCAATTCCAGATTCCAAAGTTAGCACAGTTCTTTATAAATAACTTTACCTAATTAGAATTCGAACTAGTCATTCGTTAATGGTACCATTGATAACCTGTCAATTGAGCCGACCACTACGGTTGTGTTATTCTCGTGGCCAGCTAGCTCTTCTGGTATGGAGTATAACGGACTGCTTACCAGACTTCGCGGAGTTGATAAGCAACGTCCGGTAATCGTTGACGGTGCTGAACTCACCTCCCTCAGTCGACCACTTGTTCTTGGCCAACGTCCCGACAGGACAGGGTGATCGTGCTCTGATGGCTGCAAAGCACATATTGCACAGTCGTTACTGATCTCTTTTCATAAAATGTGTTTGTTTGTGTTTTGTTTGAAAACCGCATTGCACAGATAGTTTGCAAGGTTTCATGATAGAGAAAGAAAATACGACGAAGAAGAACGCGAAGGCGCACATCAGTAATCGATAGCGATTTCGAAAAAGTAGAAGGACGACATGCAGGTTCACATTTGAGCTAGAAGAAATCCTTTACGAACTTCAAAGATCTAATTTGTACCAAAAAAAGATCGACGGCGAATGTCTGACGCTCTGCAACCAGATTAATCCACTATAATCCTTTGCATCCCAGTGAAAACATCACATTAGAGAAATACTGTTACGAAATCGATGAAATAAACTGAAAATTGTAGGTATCCAACATTGGTCAACAAAAAACGTTCAAATGTTATTGCGTCACAACGCTTGACTAAACGCGGCAAATCTGGACGCATTCGGCAACAAATGCCTTATCCGACATAGTTACTTGATTTCTCAGCAAACCATTACACGCAACACAATAATTAACTGCTAATAAGATATTATTGAACCGTCAAACTACTCGTCTTCAGAAATTTAGAATCCTGTGCTACTGAAAGGGACAAATTTTTCCTCTAAAAAAATTTAAATCCCATTGTTCTTAAATTGATCAATAAAGTTATAATATCTTGAATCCAACACTCAAAATCAGGCGCTGTTTTGAAACGAGCCCACAACCGCCACCGATAACTGTCTATAATTTTGCAAAACACTTAGAAATGGTCAAACAGCTCACTTGATTAAGTGGGCGATAACGACGTCGCCAATTTCGTATTACTACAATATCAGCGACTGACGCCAAAGGTGGTCGAGAGAAATAAAAGGACTGCAAGAATACAAATTTCCACATAAATTTAATAGAAAAAAGTCCTGACTCAAACGACAGCATAAACATTAAACCGATTTCAAGAAAGGGAAGATTAGTACTGCAACACACCTCTGTGGAGTGGTCATCGTGATAATCCGATTTCGAAGCCGTACGAAAAACGAAGAGAATTGCCCATGCTGGCATAAGAAATGAGACGACATCGTACGGAAACTTCAGCAGCGAATATCTAAGTTGATCGTGATCCTAAATGGAATTCTCGGGAGCTCAAACAGCAACTGAAAATAAATCCGCCATAAAGCATACTGGTAAGTCAGAACTGATTAATGGACTAAGTTGAAACGCTTACAAAAACACCGCTACATCCTTTCACGTCATCAGCCATGAGAAACATGCCTATGTGATAACCAAGATCTGCTAGTGCCGATGTTTCGAAAGTCCAAAAAAGGCTGAAATGTCAGAAACACATGCAACACGGTAAGAAGACAGAAAAACTGATAGTGGGAAAGGACTGAAGGTGACCAAAATGAAGCATGAAGCAGAATCTAGCGAGAAAAACCGATGAATATTATTATTTTCGTGATAGTATCTGTGTATGTACGTGTTTGTTCCTTTTTATTTTAAATGGCCTGTAATAACATATGCTGCACGGTACTCAGTACTTCTTGGATTCAAATCGTTTTCCCCGCCTTCATCCTCCACAATGGCCTTCGCATATTTCGTGTGTTTCGTCTGCTGCTTCAGTATTTCGTCTTCCTTATGAGATCAGTAGAATGGTGGTCGAGTTAAGCCTTTTTGCGATCTTGGACAGAGTCGAGCTAAGATATTGCCACTTGGATTGGAGGACAACGTTGAGACAGAGATCGAACTAGCGCCTTTCGTTCCCTGATCGAAGGCATCGCTAACCACTGCGCTTCAGGAGATAAAAATTTTACCTCCAAAAAAAAAAACACTGCAGCGAAGTACAGGAAGAGTAGCGACTACGAAACCGACACGCCAATAAAAGTCGAACTGACATTAGAGCACAGCTGTCAATACTACAATAACCAAGAACTCTGCGTTGGCTGGTTTCCCTATGCTTCATTGAAAAGCAAAGTATATATGCAGACGGGAATCAACCAGATTGTTTCTTTGCGCAAGAAAGGAAACAGAGATGACATCAATAACTATGTTCTCAATAGCTTGATATTCCTAGTTTACCAGATGTTCATGAATTCCATCCTTAACAGCACTAAAACACACCGAACTTTATGAAAACGTTGAGTACATAAAAGGACCACATATACAAATTATGATACAGAAATTCCACAAAATGAATCAACACTAATAACAGTGAGATATTTGCAAAACTCTGGACCGCAGGTGTCTGCGGTAGGGAGCGAACGCGCTATTACCGTTTCCGAGGGCTAACGCGATCACTAGCACGGTAGGCGGGTCTTTCGTTTCGCCTGCCTCTGAGCTAGTTTTCTATTGTTCAGTGCCATCAAAAATTATCCATCAACGAGAATGCAAATATCCCAGCATCACTGTGGTCACATCACACATAATACCCTGCGTTAAAAAGGCTCCTTGATTTAAAAAACCGCGTGATTTTTCATACAACGATAAGTTTATCGAACCTGAAAAGACTACGTCGTTGATTGGAACGAATATTTGGAGCCGCAGATATTCTATTCATACGCCAAAGAATTAGCAAAAACGAACCAACGATTAATTGAACCATCACGAATTCTCCAGAGGAGAACCATATCCAGTACGGAGCTGGAATTCCACATAAAAAATTGAAATTTCTATTCAGAATTCTTTGAACACTATTTTATTTCAAGCTTTTACTCATAACCCCTTTTTATAACTCGACACATCTTCACATCTATTGCGCAGATTTCAGCATTTCTTGGATTCGATTCACTTGTTCGGACTTATTGTCCACGAAGGACTTCGAATTTTTCGCATATGGTTCCGCAGATTCTTGAGTGTTGTCGTTTTCTTTGTGAATGTCGTTGAATGCTGGTCGAGTCGATTCTCGCCAGTTCTGATATAGCGTCTCCATTTCGACTGTAGGAAATGAACTTTTGAAAAAAGTCTACTCTTAATTTTCCAGCTCCGGAAAGATGAGAGATTTTCTGAGGCCGGGGCGAGGTCGGATCAACGCCACGCACCTGATTAACGGAATCATTACAACTGCACCATCCCTCATAATTCTGGCACTTGAACACAACAAAAAAGTTATTTTAGGGGTGACAAACAATGCAGTTACCATGACAATCCCTCCAAGGCTCGATGGACAAAAATAATCCAGCGATTAGAAAGATAGTGAAATAGGTAAACATCAAAAACAGAGAAGAAAAACACAACCTGGAAAACTTCACTTAATAATTTCTACTAATACCTTACTGATAAGAACTCTTTTACTGAAAAGATCACGAAGCTGTACAAATTACTTTGCCAACGAAGTACTTAAAATAAACTGGCTTACCTTTTCCCAGCAATAGAGCTCCAATGCATCATTTTTGACGCAACATCTAAATATAGATAGCATATAATAAGAAGTTCGAGAGCCTTAGCGTAGCTGATGAACAGCGCCACCTGTGTTGTCCATCCTAACAACCATTCCAAAGAACTAGAACAAAATCATAAACTTACTAAGGGATTTTTAGGAAGGTAAAACTATCGGTAACATGAACATAACTTGGACAGCCCGCCCTCACTGGTTGCGTAGGTCCCAGCATAATTTTCATTTTTCGGCGTCTTGCTGGCTTAGTTATTACGTTTCCCGCGAGTCCCAAGGTCAGTTTAGTCAAAGTATGCTCCAGGTCGTCACCACCACAGGAAGTCGCAGTCGTTGTGGATTAAAAGGAGATTTGCCACCATGCGACTAGTTTGATACCAGCACGGTGGTCGATCCTGATATTGGTTTATTCTTATCTAGACTTCCTCGTGGAAAAACCGTACTCCTCAGCTTGGGAGACCCTGCCGAGAAGATGAATCCCCCTGGTGTACATCGCAGTTCGACACCCAGGAACACCTACCAGTTACGATGAGGCAGTAAACTGTTGGGAGGAACATGAATATAAAGCAAAGGAAGAACGTTCAAAATTAACAAATGGGCTAGTAAATAAAATAACAAAGGAGAGGGTGGTTTAGTAACCGTGTTTCGCCAATTGTGCCTTATCACTCACAAATCAATTTACTAGCAAGTAACCCATCACAAATTGAGAAGCTTCCAGAGTCCGCTCTCCCAATTAACCCTTGAAAACGCTGATAGCCAAGCTTGATACCCTCTCTTCAGTGGGTAAAATACTACGAAAGAATCAAAAAGCATTTTTAAGCTAGTCTTTAGAACATAAATGCTGCGATTACCGAAGGAAAAAGAAACCTTCAAGATGAGCTTTCAAGAGCTAACAGCTTTAAAACAAATGACTAGACACTTCAGCATTGCAGATGAAATAAAACACACAATAAGAGTTTAAAAGATAAAAAGGTAATAAAAGTCTAAAAAAGAGCAGTACTATGCCTGCAAGCTGTTAGGAACAGATAGGAATAGCCTCTAAAGGATTTAGCACTTACCCTGCAATGCAGTGAACGAACAGGATGTAGAATAAACCTAGGCGAATACGCGAAGACGTGGCTGAATGAAGACGCAGAATTCGAAAAAGGGCCAAAATCGCTGTTATAACACCAGCGAAAGCTATTATTCCGGAACGAATACAAGCTGAAATACGAAAACGATCTACACTCCAAGTATAAATTGTTGATCGTATCTGATTCCTGATGTCTATTGACTAATTTTTTAACTGGCTGCTGAATCTATTCAAAGCAGAAAACCGGAGATCTATGTCGCATCCCTAATGGTACATTACGTTCAGAGTGAAGTTCTTGCACTTTTTCGACTTTTCTTCATTTGCAACACGTTCGAGGCTTTGTCTTATGAAAGGTAGAAACATAACCCTTCAATCACTACAAGTCAAATAATGACTGACAAAAATGCATCAATACAGAAAGTCAAGCAAATTGGCGTAAATGATACAGAAATGTCAACTTTAAAAACTCATTAGCCAAAGACAAGGAAAAAATCGACAGTTAAACGTCCAAAACTCCTGAGCGCTGAAATTTAACGACAACAGCCCTTTTCCTAACTCACCGATCGGTTCCTGAGGGTCGACACAATTTACACAGAGCACATCAATAGACTTATTCCAGTCCGGACTTGCGATGTTCCCGTTGTCATTGGCTTCCACTGATCGTCTCCACCGCGACTGTCCTAGTATCATTTTAGCTTCCATACCAACATCGGATAGGATGTTGAACGATGGTGGTCTACTAATAAGAGATATTCATTAATCTTTCATTTCATTTCGACTATTGTTCACACATCATTGAGAGGTGCATGCCGACAAGGAGAACTGGATTTTACAAGCACCACAGAAGAACTGTACATAAGTTCTCATTAAAAAGTGTATAAATGCATGTACAAAACTGTAGAGAAGAACACTTAATCATCCGTTAAGACAGTGTGCTAAAGTTTAGGCGCTTTTACAGCAACATCTGTGAAGAATCTTTCTGGATTGTTCAGCTACCGACTCGGTAGGACGAAGAAGACGTCAAATCAAGAAGACTGTGATCATCGGCTCTGATGAAGGCGAAGACGTCAAGACGTCAGTCGAATAAAGACTGTGTAACAACCCCGTCTAAGCTCAACAATCCAAGGTTTGCTTAGGCTATGTATAGGTACTAGTACTTGGTTAGCTATTGATTTTTACCGCCGAAGTTAAACGACGGTCGGTTTGAAAAATACTGTTCTATGAAGAATATTAGTATATGTAAAATATTATGTAAAATGTAAAAGAAAGAATAAGGAAACCAAGGATTCTAGCATATTGTGATTGGAGCGCAGTTGTAGAACACAGGCCAAAGGACGTGAGTTATCATTGACCGTACAGATATAACCAGAAATCCTAGGAAGTTGCGAAAGCAAGCTTGTTGGTTACAGCACGAAAAGCGACGCATGTTGCGCAGTGGAAGGAGGAAGCCTGTAATACACACCGTCGTTGGTTCGACCTCGAGCCTTCCGTCCATTGGGGTTCGGAAAGTTGGTTCCAGAGTTGTCTGGGAGGATAGCAGCACTGATTTCACATATCGAGAAGCTACCGCCAATCATTTGAAAGGCTAGATATTCATTCAATCACCTATAACGATGCTTGATAACGTCGAATGCATGGGGTATCCATCAGGGATTTATCAAGACCAAGAGCTTCACCACGCTTCGTCCTTCATAGTATAGAAAAATCTTACACCTGTGTCGAAATGAGCTAAAATCGGAGCAAATACGGAATTTGGCAGCGATCTCGATCAGGTGCTTTGGAGTGGACAGCCAGTGATCACAGCAGCACCTCATCGGAACAACGATGAATAGTGGTGGCATGGAATTTCGTACGTGTTTAATCAGCCCATGAAAATGTTGACAGAAATCACGAGATCATAACCGAGTGATGCAGAGGATAGGCATAAACACATACTAATTGTATGTTGATGTGATAAAGTGTTATCAGCACTAGCGGCATTCTTTCCGATTTTCTCAATGAAGAATGCAGCCAAGGCTTGTTGACATTTCGCTGTATAACGTGGACTGGGAATAGCGCGGTGGTTAGTTATGCCGTCGATCAGAAAGCGACGGCCGTAGTTTGATCCCGCCCCAACGCTCTGCTTCAGTCCACGAGTGAAAGCCTTAGACTGGCTATCTTCGAGATTGCAAGAAGACTTTGACTCTACCAGCATTGTATGACATTCATAAAGAAAATGAAATCCTCAAGCAGCAGTTGAAGGAACATGAGAAATGTTCGACAACCACTGAGGACGATGAATTTGAAGAAAACGAATCGAGCGCAAGCAGCGCTGGGATCCGCACAGTAGATGTGATTGCGGGCCATGTGAAATTGGATTGTCCGCTGAAAGACAAATCACTGGAACTTGCTATTTCCCTGATCAGCACACACGAAGTTGTTACTATATATTATTTATTCACAATAGCCGAGGTTTCGGCGGATTTTCCCTTCTTCAAAGCAGTTAACTTGACCTTTCCAGGCTCTTTTCGGATTCATCCGAGTCGATGGTCCACAGGTGATCGCCCGTCGTCGCCACGTGGCTGTTCGTTGTCGCATCGAATCGAATCCAGTGAAGTAAAGCACCGCTCGTGAGATGACGAAACAGCCGAATAATTTTTACCAACCTTGTGTCAGCTAAATAATTCAGCAAGGTATATTCCGTTGTCGTCCCAACAGTTTAACGCCTCACCGTGGCTGGGAGGTGTTTCTGGGTGTCGGACTGCGATGTACAGCGGGGCGATTCGTCCCCTGTAGGGTCTCCCAAGCTAAGCAGGAGTCCGGCGTTTCCATCAGGAAGCCTAGCTAAAAGTAAACCAATACCAGGATCCACCACCGTAGTGGTATCAAAGTCGCATGGTGGCAAATCTCCCTCTGATCCACAAGGGCTGCGACTGCCTGTCGTGGTAACGACCTGGGGCAGACTTTGGCTGAGCTGTCCTCGGGATTCCAGAGAACCACAATGGCTTAACCAGCAAATCTCCGAAAAATGGTGATTATGCTGGGGCAAGAACAACTAGTGAGGACGGGCCTTCAAGTATCAAGTATATTTCGTTGTACCTTCTGGGATTTCTATGCTAACAAGAGGTTGATAAAAGGGTTTATTCGGATTATTCGGCTAACGTTTCGACGTCTTCGTCGCTTAACAATTGAAAAAAGTGTTAATTCTTACAGCCGGGATTAAATGACGGCCGGTTTGAAGAAATATTATATTTCGCTGTGTTTGTGAGAGAGGTGAGACCCGTAAGTATTTAGTATCATAAGTATAGTAAGTATAGTATGTAGTAGCATATACGTTTAGTAGCATAAGCTTTTTATCTACCTCGTGTTCCCTTATCGACTGAAGAGTACACATTGATTAGTCATACCGAAGTTAAAGGAAAATCTATTTCCTAAACATTCATATGTGCCTGGATGCTGGTTTGAAAACTTACTTAAGGTTTTAATATCAAAACAGAAGAGTAGCATCGGTGTTCGAGGTGATGATTGATCGACGATTATTTATCAACTATGATAATGTCGTAGAGTAAACGCTGAGAGAATCTTATATAAGAATGACTCGTTAAATTCTAAACCTAAGACTTGCTGTGCAAATAATCAGAGGAAAGCATAATGGAACACGTTTGCCACGATACGAATCATATAAGGTGTGTGTAGAGAAGTGGTAAGAGGTGCCCTGCATTACACACGTGATTCTTCGTTCGATCACGAGCCACGCTAGTCACACCTCCCGACCTCGAGTCACACCCCCAATCCGCGGTCGGGAAATTGATTCCAAACATGTCAGAGGGGAAAATAAACACTCCTGTTAAACGTTGTAGGCCATTTAAGGGTAACGCAATGACTACCGATGCCGTGCATCAGAAGGAAAAGGTGCTGGTTCGACCCTGTCCCCAACACTCTCTTCCAATCCATGTGGGAACGCCTTGACCAAAGAAGTCGCTATTTATGCAACTGTATCAGTTTAATCAAATTAAATCTCAAATAAAATCAAACGCAAATTGTAGTGAAGACCTGAGAGCACCCTAGCAGGTCTCATCAACCATCTGCTTAAGCGGAAATGTACCAACCTCAATACACTCCACTGTACTAGCCTCAGTACACATCTGTCTACGACGTAGGGCGGTGAGAGTGATAGGTTGTCAAATTTCAGGATACGTATATTATAATAACACTATTCTCAGACGGGGATTTCCACGCTTTTCCTGAGACCGCTGATCGCGTCAACTTCTACATGTTCGCCCTACAAGAGACGAAAAGCAGGAAGACGGACGTGCGCCAATTATTATAGATGACAGGACCTTTGCCATTCGAGGAGGAAGTTTCCGTTATGAAGTGCCGGAGACGTTGGCTATGACGTAAGCTCTCCAATATTGTAAATTCAAGGTAAATCCTCTCAATTTCTTTGACCTCTGTCTTCAAACTCTAGGTCGAAAAATTATCGGCGTCATCAATTGCTACTCACCGACTGGTGCAGTTAATCGATACGAATTAGATGGTTTTATTACTATTCAGAAGAATCAAACCACAGTAAACGACAACTATAAGCCTTTCTATAAATTCTTTATACAAGACTTCAATGCCGAAATTTGAATGGTCAACCAAATCGATTATAGGATCGAAAAGCTTCCAAAGGAGAGAGAAGAGAGAATGGAAACTGCATTTCAGGATTTCCGTCCACAGTACGCGTACTTCACGGAAATCCGGTCTTTTAGAAGGAAAAAAATCGCCGCTGGACATGGGAGTCACCTAACGGTATGACACATGCTGGGACCGACCATATAATCACAAACAGAAGATCGTACCTTTTTGACACCTCCGTGGTCTCATCATTCTGTACCGGATCTGATGACTGCCTTCATCCTGCGGAGATTGGATTCAGACGTAAGCTGGGAGAGAATTCTAATCAGTCAGGAAGAAGAATGCAATTCGAATATGATGCAGACCCTATAGACGAAACCTTAACTACAAATGACTAGCAGGTTAAGGAAAACCAGGCCAAAGACTGCGAACTGTTTGTCTATGAACTTAAAAGTTGCGCTGAGCACGATTCAGTTCCTCAATTCAGGAGCTCGGACCGGAAGGAGTTGTTAGAGAGAATAAGAAAGCCTTTACTTCGTCTTATTGCTAAGCATCTGAAACGCGTGACAATTGACGTCTGCACTGGAAGATCTTTCAACGATTTACATAGGAACGAGTAGAAAAAAATTCTATTATCAGCCAAAAAAGAACCATTCTGAAAAGGTGCCGTTGAGGTCTTTTGCTGTCAGCCTTAATGAGCGGAGATGGAATCACTATTTTACCGTTCCAAAGTTACTGTCTGGACCTTGACATCCCTGCTGGAATAAAATTATCCAGGATTTTTCCCCCTGAAGTTCGAATTACGATAAAAAGGGCAAGTAAAGGCAGAGTTCCAGAATATGATAAGGTTACAGCCGACTCTTGAACAAGTTTCTCGTTGTCTGCTAAAGCTCATCCCGTGGAAAGACCAATTCGAATGGGATGTACAGGATGAATAGAAAACGACCCCTCAAGTAGATCATCGAATAGGCAGCGAAGAGTGAAAGGTTAGACACTTGACAGAAAGAGAAACGTCGTTGTGAACACGTCTCACGCCTCCCACCTACTCAACAGTGCCGTAATTTATGAAAAAGCGAAACTGTTTTCGAGGAGAAGCGACAACGTTGCGTCATATTATTCGCCTAACAGAACAGCTAGGAACAGGGAAGTACGTTTCTCCTTTTCGTAGTTCAGCCATGTGCGGATTTTCTTCCACCTAATAATCTTTTCCCGTCATACACAAAGGCGTTTGGATTTGCGCATGAGTTCGACCGAAACTTGAGAATTTTTCTTTCATTCATGTATGATGTCGAATGGTGGTCGGTGGTATTCAGCTCTTCACCGTAGCCAACAACCGGCCGTTCTGAATTGGGAGGTGACTTTATCAGATAGGTCCGGTTCTCATATTTGGTGCCTTAAAACTAAAAAAAAAATAACGGAAATCTAACCTTCTTGTCTGCATCACCTTTCATATATATAAGGAGCTCATGAACCCAGACGAATTCTCCTCGAAATCTGTTTCGCATGATTTTTAAGGTGTGGAAAACGACCTTTCCTAGATAAAGCCTAGTAAAGACATCTCTAGTGAGGCTATCGATTTAGGGCGCAAAAAATTCCACGAGAAAATTTTTCCTACGAAAAGAAACAACAGTAAGGAAAATGAGTCATATGTTTCATATCATCAGAAATATCCTCGCGAACGTTTCATATTTGACTCATATGTTCTTAAATGAGTTGAAAGACGAAAGATACTGAAGAATTATCTAAAGAAGTTCGGAACTGGAAAATTTCTCGTAAATGAGCTCACCGTAGTCAACGTATGCTGTTTCAAACGCAAATGACAACTTGGGAAATTGACGAAAACGAGAATTTCCTGTTGATTCAGACAGTTATACTTTTCGGAAATGGACTTACTACAACAAAAACAAATGTCAGAGCCGGTAATGAAAAATTTTGACGTTCTAGAGATAGTACGGACAACGACGGGCAGCGGTAGTGAGGACGTCCAACAGGCATAAAACCGTGGTTTAATGCCACCGCGTGGTAATCAAGCTTCTATTCCTACGGGACAGTGAGAAAGAAATACCCTACGTGAAGAACGCCCCTATGGTGGCAAAATCTGAAAAACACCTGTGATGAAGAGTTGCGAATGCCCTAGCAAGGTTATCCTAGAATTTTAGGAAAGATCAAGTCGACTAGAATTCAATGACATTCGTAGAGAAGCCAATCATATCCAGAGATCGTTGTGGACGAAAGATGTGAAACAGCAAGCCGAATGGAAGAACTGTTGGGATCAGCAAAATGCACGTCAGATCGTGTTAAATAAAAACAAGTGTACGGATGATAACGAGAAATAGACGGTATCGATTTGACAACGACTCTCTACAGAGCACATTCTTTTCAGACCAAGAATGGGACCTACAATGCAGTTTCATTTAATTATTTGGATGAAAACTAGTTTTTTTATTTTTTATGTGTCTCTTTAGCAAAAACGAGTTGTTTACCTCCCTACTTGTATGCGAGTTGACGTTTCGTCGGAATTCGCCTTCCTCAGAGCCTGGAAAGGTCAGGTTGACTCAACCTACCAGGCCAAACACCTCCACAACCAAACAGAGA